GTCCCGACCGGTGAGCGGTTAATATCATTCAAAGCGCTTATGCTGACTCAGGCGACAATAATAAGTATAGTGCTATCTGAGCGTGACTTGGACTAGCGTGATTGTCTTGGCTGATATGATTCATACGCATGACATGGGGATATTTTTGGCACAAACATCAACTTTCTCGGAACATAAATCTTCCCGCGGCGGCCGAATCATAATCTCAGATTTCTAACAAGGTGTCGTGGATAGCGCCGAGTTAGCATATTGGCACGGCGGTGGTCGGCGGCCGCGGCTCCTATCGGATCCGCCATCGATAGCTGCCGGGCGCCGACCGGGGCTGCGGGAGGGAGGCTGAGCGAGGCTGACTGGGGTGTCGGGGAGGCTGACCGGGGCTGACCGGGGCTGACCGGGGCCGGGGGCGGGACTGGCCGGGGGCGGGAGGCTGAGCGAGGCTGACTGGGGTGTCGGGGAGGCTGACCGGGGCTGACCGGGGCCGGGCGCCGACTGGGGCCGGGGGCGGGCACTGGCCGGGGCCGCGGGAGGCTGACCGGGGCTGGGAAGGTTGGGGAGGCTGACCGAGATCGGGGGAGGTCAGGGAGGCTGAAGGTGTGCTGACCGGGGCCCGGGGAGGCTAGGGGGAAGACTGACCTAGGGCTTGGGGCGCTGACCGGGGCCGGCGGCGGGGACTGACCGGGGCTGAGGACTGACGGAGGTCGCGGGAGGCTGAGCGAGGTTGACTGGGGTCGGGGAGGCTGACCGGGGCCGGCGGCGGGGACTGACCGGGGCTGGGGACTGACGGAGGTCGGGATTTGGCTGACCGAGGGACCGAGTCCGCGGCAGGCTGACTAAGCTGACTGAGGTCACGGCGCCGACCGGGGTCAGGGAAAGCTAACTGTGCTGACTGAGGTCAGGGCCCAGTTCATATAGAAAAGCCAGCTATATGAACCCGTCTGTCGAGTCCCGTTTCCGATGAGTGTCCCTTAGCAGCAAAGGGGCTCTATATGAACTAGGCCCTGGGGGCTGACTGACCAGAGCTGACTGGGGCCTGGGGAGGCTAGCCGAGGCCCCCAGAGGCTGACTGGGGCCGGGGACCGAATAGTGGGCCGAGTGTGGAGGTGAGAATACCATACATTGATTGAGTCCAAAACTATTGCTGAGCAAATGTTTGCCTTTGGGTAGAATCCATCTATTTTGGCGGTCTTCGCTCTCTGTGGGCCAAACCGTTTACCTGGAATCAAACATGAGGACATTTTATCGAAAATACTTCAAAAGAAACATCGTATGCGGTTTTCCGCGTTCCTGTAGCTCACGCTGTTGTTCACGATATTAATATGCCCGCTAGTTTGTGTAACACTGTCAAATGCGAGAAAACGCAGGGAAAAATTTACCTTTCGCTGCCTCCAGTGACCTTAGCTATTATAACCTAAGCAATAAATGACGTGTATGCTTCCGAAAGAACTTTGATAAAGACAGATATCGACTGCTTATTCTGCGTCTCTCCAGCCTACTTGTATTTCATTTTTTTCTAAGGAGATCGGCCGAAGTTGGTTGAGCCCCACACCCGGGCGCGGGTGAAGACAAAGCCAACTTCTCAAATATATTCATCGTGACACTGCATCTTAATTCTTATTTATTATCTATAACGCATCACGGCTGATGCGCATGGTTTTTCAGCTCATCTTTTACATCGAAATTGCCCTATCCTGCGCACCTAGTAATTTGATCGTGTGTATTGTTTTGGTGTTCGGTTTTGTGCCCTTTAATTAATTGTAATCCGTGAAAGTTTTCATCAGCTAACGCCCGATGGAATGTTTCTCAGCGGTGAGCTGACCCCGTCTGTTCCCCAAATTACCCCCATTAGTCCCGCCCCCAGCTGCGGTTCTCAGCCCGGCCTGGGTGGCCGTCCGTGGGCCCCCAGAGGTGGGCCTGTGCCCGTGCCCGTGCGGTATGGAGGCGGAGGGGCAAGGAAGCGGACCTGCGGACGGCGAGCGCTCCCTCCCTGCCCACCCGGCCCGCGACAGCCTAATGACTCCATTACGACCTGGCCCGTGTCATTAGCTCGGCAAACACGGGCGGGGCGGGCCACGGAGACGGCCGTCAGCGCAGTGAACTGAGTGCGTGTGATAGGGTCAGCGCAGTGAACTGAGCGGGCGGGATAGGGTTAGCGCAGTGAACTGAGCGGGCGGGATAGGGTCAGCGCAGTGAACTGGGCCGGCGGGATATCGGGTATCAGCGCAGTGAACTGAGCGGGCGGGATAGGGTCAGCGCCGCGGACCGAGTGCGTGTGATTTGGTCAGCTAAGCAGACTGTGTGACGCAGATAGCAGACCTCTCAGAAAGCAGACCTCCCAGAAAGCAGACCTCTCAGAAAGCAGAGAACTCTCGGACATCACACCGAGTGTCTGACAGGAGACTTCTGAACCAGCAGACCGCGTGTCTCAGACAGCAGACCGCGTGTCTCAGACAGCAGACCGCGTGTCTCAGGCAGCAGACCGCATGTCTCAGGCAGCAGACCGCGTGTCTCAGACAGCAGACCGCGTGTCTCAGGCAGCAGACCGCATGTCTCAGGCAGCAGACCGCGTGTCTCAGACAGCAGACAGTGAGCTCAGACTGCAGACAGAGTGTCTCAGACTGCAGACAGAGTGTCTCAGACAGCAGACAGAGTGACTCAGACTGCAGACAGCGAGCTCAGACTGCAGACAGAGTGACTCAGAGTGTTTCAAAGTGTCTCAGACAGGACTGGCCCTGTCTCAGGGACAGTCAGTTGAAGTTCGTCAGGCCGGTTGTCAGGAGTAACCGCAAATGTCGGAGAGGCCGGCCGCAGAAACCACCCCGACGGAACCCACGCAGTGGCCAGCCAGCACCTCCCCGTGTGCTTTTTATCGTTTATTGCAGCCATGCTAATGACTTGTGTAGTCCCTTACCGGTAACGAGTGTGACATCCTCCGGCTACAAATGCGAGCTCTAGTCAGGGTATATTGAGTGAAGGGTAGGACGAACTTTGGTAGGAATTTCTAGTATAACTACTAGAAAACCTACTATACCGGGTGGCCCAAAAAAAACGTTCCGAACTTTGGAGGCTTATATCTCAAATTCGAGCGCAAATAACGAGCCAAAATTTTCATCAAGTTTGCGTCACTCCTTTGCGCATTGGTATGCCAAATTATAACACTGTAACATCATTTTCAAGCCAGCAATCTTATGTTGAACTAAGTAAGACGTTTTTGCTTTTTTTGCCGTTGTTGAACGGAAGTAATGATTGGCTTAGACGTACCATGTTAGAAAAAATACAAAAAAATAGAACAACGTGAATGATACCAGCGTGTGTGTTGCTATTTTAGATATTTTTGTCACACTTATGTGCCAAATATTCAAATACTAAGCCAAAGTTGTGTTAATGGATGCCATTCGTTTCAACACAAGTCCTGTTTCGAGGCGAAGCCGAGTGGCACGGTGCATGGGTTACTGCTGATCGCCCTCCCTTCAAGAAGATCAAATAGTAAATCGACCGAATAAGGAAAAAAGCTAGAGGGAATGTGTTACCCTGAGGCCTGAACCACCAATGAGACTAGTTGCCAGTAGCAGTCATGGCTGTAGGCCGTGGTGCCGAGATGGAAGTGGCCCGTTCACTCACATTTTTGGTAAACATCAGAGCAAAAAAGTGATTTTTACATGGCATGCTAGAAACACGAACCATTTAAAAAGTAATTGACCGAATAACATGAAAATCATACCATTCACTGAAAATATATGCCACATTGACTATTGGAAGTTTCAATGTTGTATCTTTTTAACTTTCTGAGAAATATTGATTTAAAATTGGGAACGTTTTTTCTGGGCCACCCGGTATGTGGTCGGGACTAGCAAAAAGTTAGTTCAATCTAGAATATGGTAGCGCTTATGGTTGGCAGTCCTGACGCGCACGTGACAATCATTTCTTTAATTTCTTAAATAACAGGTTTTAAGGGCCGATTAGTGGGCAGATACATTCAATTAGCTATTAATAATTGATTATGCAAACATTCAAGAATCTAATCATTTAATTCTAGCCAAAATCACGCGGCGCTCCCAGGATTCGAACTCACGACCCTCGGATCTGAAGCCCGATACGCTACCGACTGCGCTACCGAGGACCGCGAATCGACGGTCGGAGAGGCGGATCGCGGGTGCTGGCGTGCAGAGAAATCTTTACCCTGTACGCCGTAGAAGATCGGCTGGGTTTCGTGAAAAATGGTAGAGGAATTGTCGAAAGAAAATTCATCGATCTATCATTTGAGACTAAGAACCATTGATTCCTTCAAAGGTTGACCGAGATATCGCTCGCCGAAAACAGGCCATTTAACATGTAAACCCTATGGGCTGGTAGGAAATGTACGCCGTGGAGCAGCAGTGCTACCAACTAACTTCGGCGGGGGCCGCGCTCTAGTAATGTCTAGTGGTCAAGAGTCAGAAGCTTTGCACAAAGGCCGTTTATTATAAGTTAAAAGCTGATAGATACGTATCTGTCATCTATGAGTGTTGTTTTAACGAAACTTTCTATCTTGATAGAATACATCACATTACAAGTGAAAAGGTGCGAGAGACATGGCATGAAGTGTCAACGAGCACATAAAAGATGAAAGAAGCATGTTGTGCGAGTGCATCCATGCGTGAGTGATAACACTCTGCATTGCAAATGTGAGCCGACAACACCAAAACCTTGGATATTTTGCCATTTCCCTAGGCTTGGTTTCCGTACACAGTAAGTGGACAGCAGGTGGTAACGTTATCGCTGTGCCGGTCCGGCCGCACGGCTCTGAAATGTAGTCTCGTGTGTTGTGACGGCAGAGTTCCCTGTGAACCGATGACCGCGTCCTTTCCGTGGATAGCCATGGGCCGCGGCAGAGCGAACAGTAACGGGATGGGTAATTGTAATCTGTTCGCGTCTGCCCTGCTCACCGGTCGGCTTTGACGCGTCACCGCCGACACCCTGAGATTTCCACTGGCCAGCCTCAATGAACAGATATCAACAGCTCATTAATTCGATAGTTTATTGCACGGGTGCCATGTCACAGACTGGCAAGTGTGATCCAGCAGGTACCGCCACATTTTCATCTTGGTTTATTGGGTACATTTAGTGCTCCAAAACAGCGGATAACTACCCAGAAACTCACTTACATAAACCAAATATACCCATCCACTAACAACTGTCGCAAGGCTATGGATGATGGACAGAGACAGCTCCATGTTATATGAGTCTCGGCAGGTAGATATAATATATAGGCATTCGGGCAGTCCCGCGCTACAGAGCAGGGCCCGGCCGCCCCTGACTGGAGCGGAGGGCCGGGACACCACACCGGAGCACATCGACCGCCAGCGGTGCTCCCACAACGGCCAGTACTCGCACACGGCCGTACCCTTATGCATTATGCAACAACAATAACGTTTTACGGCCGCCATTCTGCTCTCGCGGAATGGACGGACCACAAACAGCTTTAGCCGAAACGGCCCGGCGGTCCGCTAGACGGTCCTGTGGTGTCGGTCCTCAGGCGACGGCCCGCCGGGAATCCGCAAACCAAAACTGCGGAACGACGCGCTGCTGAGGAGATCATCGTATTCGAAATCCGCCGGGCCGTCGGCGAGCCGCTCACTGCGGCCGGTGGTACTGCTAGTGACATCTGTCGGCGAGTTGTGGAACTGCTCTCGGCCGCCCCGCCGTCTGTGTCCGGGTGCCTCCTCGGGCGGGGACTCCCCCTGTGTCACGGAGGGGATGGTGGTCCCCCAGTGGACGCTCCCGTCCCGCTCCTCCCTCTGCCCCGCTCGTCTCTCTGCCGCCGGCCCGGCGCGTGCGTCTGTGGGTGGGTGGACTCGGGTCTCTGGGGCGCCCGGCGCCGGCTGGACCACAGACCGGCGCGGGGGCGAGGGTCGGTGGTCGGGGGACGGTCTCGGAGACACGCCACCGGCCTGGAGCCGCCGGCCGGCGCCGGACCGCGGCCGGCCGGCCTCAGCCAGGTGCCGAGCCACGCGCGCCGTCTGTGTCACAGGGCCCCGGGCCGGCTCCGTAGCGCCGCTCCCGCCGGACGGGAAACTCCAGCCGCGCAGCTGCGCCCTGCTCAGGAAGCTGCGCGCCGCCCGCGGGCCGAACTGGAGCTCGCTAGTGGTGCGGCCGCCGCCGCCGCCGTAGCTGACCCGCACCACGAACGGCGGCGCGCCGGCGCCGGCTCCCGTGCTGGTCCCAGCTCCGGCGCCGGCTCCATCCTGTTTCACGGGCGTATCACCGCGCTCATTGTGTCCTGCCACAGTTACAGTACCTGGCCGCTCGTCTGGAGGCGCCGCCACGGCCACCAGGTGTCGCTCAGGTCGGCGGTACGCCTCTGTGGAGCCGGACAGGGGCTGGCCAGCGAACGGAGACCGCCAGGTGACGCCGTTAGCTGGGGGGCTGCGGTCGCCGCTAGGGGCACTGCGGTCGCCGCCAGAGGCGCTGCGGTCGCCACCGCTAGGAGCGCTGCGGTCGCCGCTAGGGGCGCTGCGATCGGCGGAGACCGGCACTCTATCTGTGGGTCTGTGCTGCACCGTCCGTGGGGTGCTATGGAGGGCTCCGGGCCCACCTCGTGCCCCCGAGGACCGATCAGGGTCGGTGACGTCATGGCTGATGACGTCAGAGTCGGTGACGTCAGAGTCCTCGTAGTCGTCCACCCAGTCGTGCTCGAACATGTGCTGCGACACCTGCCGACTCACCTGGAAATGAGGCAGGACTCATCAGGACCCAGCGTAATCAGGGCATGGCAGGTCACGGCTGATGGAATAGCCGAACTCGGCGCTCAGCAGTTATCAATCTGCATATTTTTGCATATTTTATGTTGCCCTCCCAAAACCTGATCCCTCAAGGGTGATTCCCAGCGAGCATCACGGTTCACTCAGCCCCACAGCCTTTAACCCGCGCCGGGCCGGTGCTCTGAAATTCCGCGCCGGGCCGCGGGGGGTGTCTGAACACCCCCCCCCCCCCCCTCCTAACTCGGCTCCTGGGCCACGTAGCGACACGCGGTAAGCGGCAATCGAAAGAACGTCAAAAATAAGGACGAAAACACTTCGGTCATTTTTTGGGTCAGGTCAAAGGTCAGGTCACCAGAGGTCACCAAAGGTAAAATGTTGACTATTTCAACATTTTGGAAACTGCCAACGGCTATCTCGGGAACCGATAGAGCTACAGCGCCGCAAAAAAAAAGCGCATTCGATAGCTCTTTTACAGACCTTTCTGAGTAATGTTCTCAGATTTGACCTCAGGTCAACGGTTTAGCCTCCAGAGGGCAAAAACTCCAAAAATAGCCGTTTTTACGAAAAACGTTTTTTCGGCAATAACTTTTGACTCAAAAGAGCTATGACATTACTTTTGCCAGCATCGTGTTCCTCTCGTCGAGACACGTCGAATGAACTATAATTTGACCTTGAAAGGTTAACTTGAAAATTTGACCTCAGGTCAAGGTCATGACCTGACCGGAAAAGGTCATGTTGCATATCAGTCGATCCGCAACGTCGAGCCAAACACATCTAAGGCGTTTCCAGCGCTCTAGCACGCCTCTATCAGAAGTTATCATCGAAAAACTGTTAGATTCTGTTCGTGACCTGAGATGACCTCGGGGACATAACGAGGGGTCACAGTTGCCATTTTCTGGTTCAGTGTGTCTATTTTACCTACATCTCGATGTTTGAGAGTGTCTAGAATAGCGTTCGTGCAAAACAGGCGCTTTTCAATTTTCTCCCATTGACTTATAATGGAGAGGCCGCAAAATTGACCTGACCTTAGGTCACCGATATCAAAATTCCGAGATATACATTTTATAGATAGTGTTGCTCTAATCAATCGCTGAAAGTTTCAAGGCAATCGTTCAGTCGGTGTAGCTATGACGAGCATTCTTATTTTTTCTGAGGTGAGGTCACTTGGCGTGACCTGGTGACCAGACCTAAGGTGACCTGGGTTTGAAATTTTCATAACATGTGCGGAAAAGATGCACGAACAGGTGTGCCAAAAACGGTGGCGCTCCGCCCCGCCGTTTTTGAGATATCTGCGAAAAACCGCAAGGGGGGTGTTCAAACACCCCCCCAGCCCGGCGCGGGTTAATATCACTCAATTGAGCAATGGCTGCTGAGTGCTGGCTGCAGTTATATCGAAAAGGTGCCTATGTGTTGAGTGCAGGAATGAATAGGACGACTATAAGCCAATGTTTTTCTGAGTTCGGTCACCACCGGCAGGTCTGACAGCTGAGTGATCCCTGGTCGGCGCCCCTACCCTGAACGTTTAGCTGGTCGGCGGCCCTACCCTGAACGTGGAGCTGGGCAGCGGCAGGCCGTCCGAGCACTCAGTGTTGAACCACCAGTCACAGGTGGCCAGCGGCTGGCTGAACACGGTACCGTTCTGAAACACAGCCGCCGGTCCGTCAGATGGTCAGCCGTGAGCCGGCTACATACCCAGCCGTCAGACTAGCCTCCCGAACCGTGATATAGTCAGCTGCTCAATTGCTCATGATTTTAAATATATTCTACAGCTCGCTACGATTCTCATAATCAGGAGCCTCTTTTAAATACTAGGCAGTAGCCAGTAGACATATTGTTATCTAAACAAAACTTGAATGCTACGTTTGCATTTTTCCGTTCGAAATATGCTGAACATACATAAGAACTGTATTTGCTCGACGCCATTTTTTAGCCAATTGCTGTCCGTTCTGAGAAGTTGACCGGTCACTTACCGGGCAGATGAAGGAGCTCTTTTGGAACGTCCCGTGACACACGTGGTATACCTGGAAACGTAACGTCACGGTCGTCAGTTGAGTCACAGAGCGTCACAGAGCGTCACAGACGTCAGCTGATTGGCATACACACACTGTATCACAGGGTGACACCGGGCGTCACATTGTATCACAGGGTGATACCGGGTGTCACACTGTCGTTGTGTCTGACAGTGTGTTACATTGTGACTGTGTCATAGTGTGTCACATTGTGACTGTGACTTGTACAAGTAAACATGCCGACGTCGGCCCGACGTCGGCCGACGTCGGGGTGACGTCGGCAACTCGGCATCGGCATGCCGACGTCGGCTCGACGTCGGTCCAACCTCGGCACGACGTCGGCTGGATGTCGGATATGCCCGCATGTTCCGACGTCCAGCCGAGGTCCAGCCGACGTCGGGCCGACGTCGGACCGAGATCAATTGCTGAGGTCCAGCCGACGTCGGGCCGACGTCGGGGCGACGTCGGACCGACATCGGCCGCTGTTTTGACCGTTAAAATAATAAAAAATAATGTTTTATGTTTCATAAAGAGCTTCTGTATTCAAAATATCCTCAGGAAACTCAAATCTTCCTCCACGCCGCAACCCCCTGATCCGGACTGGACGGGAAACTTTATCCCATTTGGAATTGCTCGTAAGCCGAGCTCGCCCGTAGCCGGGTGCGGTGAGTGCTTGGGGGCAGCTCGGCCTATCCTTTGGTCAGGCTCAGCCCCGGTAACTCACCAGGGCCGGGCCCAGTTCATATAGAAAGGCCAGTCGGCAAGTGTCACTTTGCCAAAGTGCCACTTATCAAAGGGACACTTTGGGAAACGTTGGTGCAGGTGTGTAAGAGTGGCTATATGAATCCATTGTGGGGTCGCCCTTTCCAATAAGTGTCACGTAACAGCAATGGGACCAGGGACTCTATATGAACTGGACCCAGGGTGCTCGCCAAGAAGACCAATGTCTCCATCCTATCATCCTTCCGGCTCTGAAATGGTCTTGTCGGACCGAAAGGGCATAACCCAACAAAACAAAGGAAATTCGATGTCTGGCTGCGTGGTGTAGTGGTTAGCGCACTATTCCCCCGTTCATATGACACGGGGTTCGAATCCAATCGCCGGCTGATGCTTTTGGCGTAAACATGCCGACGTCGGCGACTGGGGGGCTCGAATCCCGCCGCCGGTTGATATTTTTGGCGCGTTGTCCCAATAAACATGCCGACGTCGGCCCCGTCGGTCCAACGACGAACGATCTCGTCAACCTCGGCAAACGACCTCGGCCCGACGTCGGCTCGACGTCGGCTGGACTTCGGCTGGACGTCGGAACATGCGGGCATATCCGACGTCCAGCCGATGTCGGGCCGAGGTTGAACCGACGGTGGGCCGACATCGGGCCGAGCCTCGGCCCGACGTCGGGCCGACGTCGGCATGTTTACTGGGGTCGCATTGTGACAGTGGGCGCCACATACGCCACGATCACACGGAGTCACGAGGGTTCGTCACACCATGTTCCGTTGAAGTTGGTACCTCACTGCTGAACAGTCCAGTCCGGTCGCTGCAGTGACGAGCACACAGTAAGAGCCTCAGGGTCCAGGGAGAGATAGATGAGGCGTTCAACAATAACCGCGTTCTTTTGTCGGGGACCACGCGACTTTTCCGTCCAGAACTGTTCGTGACCTCCATTTGGACGGCCCGGGTCGGTGGTGATTGGTACAAATGATGATCGATTGGGACGGCAGCAGTGACATGCAGCGCACGTTTTCTTTGTGGTGCTCTTAGCTACGATTTCAAACTGCGGTGCTGTGGACGTGGAAAGTCCGTTTCTATAAATGGCTTGTCTCACACTAATTGCCTATACCTAATTCTTGTTTTTTTTTTTAATAAGCTAGAGCAATTATATTTTTAGACATTGCCCGCTTTAGCCCAACACTCATGCCTATGTATGTATACATAGGCAGTATGGACAATAACTACCATACATAGCACAATAAAAGCAACCATAATCCATACGAACATATGCATGTTTGCTACACTCATTCATGTCCACAACCTCATGCCTCAGCGAGGTTCTACTGGAACACAGCTGGCAGTGGCCCCAGCAGTGAGATCCCGCTCGCCAGCCCACCCAGCCGCAGCTCAGCCCAGCTCCAGCCCACCCAGCCCAGCCCAGTCGCAGCTCACCCAGCCCACCCAGCCCAGCACAGCCCAGCCCAGCCCAGCACAGCACAGCCGAGCCCCCACTCACCTGACACCTGGCCGAGACGTCCGAGAAGTAGCCCTGCGGCCGGCCGGCGCAGGTGAACCCCGTCTCGGGGATCTCGGCCAGGATCGGGTAGTCGTCTCCGGGCACACCTGTAGCGGCAATGGCGGTCAGTGATCAGAGGGAGGGGACGAGCGCTGCACGGCGGGTGCTGCCGACAGAGGGCGGGGCTCAACAACAAACCACAGAAATTAACCAGTAACAGGCCACAGTGATGATCAATTTCGCAAGTTGAGGTTTTAAATTTAACTGCCATTTCCCTGCGTGGCCTACAAGCCTGTCATGTGTGTATCTACACCGGTGTTCAAATAGGTATCTCACAAAGATTGTGCAGACCTTATGCGCAAATTTCATATCAACTGAAATTTCGCAAATAACTCTTTTTATTTTTCATTTTTATTTTTATTGAGGATTTCGCCAAGCAAAAACTTACGATCGTTAACGAAGTTATTCGTCATTAGGTATAGCACTTTGAGGATCAATTTAATACAAAATTTAAATTTGATATAAAATTGAGTGCATGATTTCCATGACATAGGTATTGGATGTATTTTGGACTCTTGTTCGTCAAATTGCAAATCAGCCGTTCACATTATCATCAGAGGTTTGTAGAAATGAAATGACGTGTTCGAAGCACCACGTCATTCTCAACAATTACAGTTAGGATACTGGTAAAATACACCCTCGAGATTCGAAAACTTACGATACTAAATTAAATGCGCGATGACGTAAGGCCAATAAATGAAGCAACGTCATTTCAGGCCTTACTATTCCGTTTTATTCCATTTTACATGTACCAACCTACACTTAATCGCAAAATTATTCCGTATCCGTCCATCTACCGCGGTCACTCAGTCAGTCTGAGGACGGAGCGCCCACCTACTCGCATTGGGTGATTCAGATTGGAGAAAATTAAACGGCCAATCATATGCCAGTAGTTCCCGGAGCATGCCATATGGCTCCAGATGGCCGACTGCTGAAGAAACAGTAACATCTGTCCGTGGAATCTGTGTCATAATACACCACCACCACACCGGACCCATTGTCAAACCATCCATTTAGCTGCGTTTAAACTGGCCGAGTCTGCGTGTGGCGCAGAGGTCTGTCGGCCGCTGACCGTCCGCCACGTGCACTACATTCCCAGCGGCTAATTACGGCTCCGGAGAACACAAACACCTCATATTTCACCGCCGGACCCGGTCAGCGGGACGACATTCAGCGCCGCCGCCGCTGCCGCCCCACCGGACTGGCCATCGTTCAGCTCGTGGTTGTTCGTAGAAGGACATTGATACTATTCAGTAAGGATGATAAAGGCTCATACAAAATGAAATACGAACATGGAGTTAAAATAACGCGCGGGAAAAATAAACAGAATCCAAGTCACCTGATTTATTTTATATTATTTTATTTTTGATTGCATAGGCCCTTTCGGTCTACTGAATGAGTCGAAGGGCCTTGGAATGAGATGATAAGAGGTGACATCAGGCTGCCTCGGTCATCACCGACTAGTGTGCCGCTGCGGCTGAAATCGTGCCCCTTAATTCAGCCGCTCAAAAAGGCGCCAAGGGGACATGCTTCTACTCGAACTGCACTAGCTGGTTGTCTGAACATAGGGTGATAATCAGTCCGGTGGTGTGTGTAATGGAGGGATGGATTGATCCTGAGCATACAACGGACGGGTGGCGGGCGCGTCTGAAGCCGCTCTCCACTGACCTGGTACCACGTCCTTCAGCCATTCAAGTCCCTCCTCGTAGTGGTCCTTCTGGTCCCAGCTGGGTCCCGAGTCCCAGTCCCGGTCCCAGCTGGGTCCCGAGTCCCAGTCCCGGTCCCAGCTGGGTCCCGAGTCCTGACTCGGCCCCCGGCCGGGTCCGGAGCTCCGGTCCCACTCCCGCTCTGCAGAGTGACCTGGAGCCGCCCCTGGACGGGGTGGACCGTGACCCGCGGAGGACACTCCGAGAGGGTCGGTTCGCGCCGGCCCGAAGGTGGTCAACTCGGCCCGGGCGCGCCGCCCGCCCGACCCCTCTGGTCGGTAGGTGGTGACCTCTGGCGTCCTCGGGCGGTAGGTGGTGGCCTCTGGTAACCTCGGGCGGTAGGTGGTGGCCTCTGGTGACCTCGGACGGTAGGTGGTGACCTCTGGAAGCCCAGGTCGGTAGGTGGTCGCTGGCGGTGACCCCCAGTGGTCGGCGGGACCGGCTGTCTGGTGCGCCCCGCCGGTGTGATGTCCGCCTGGGGACGGCGCCGCCCCGCTCGGAGCGTCCGTATCCTCCCGATACCCCGCCGACTGCCGGCTCGACCCAGAGGAGACGCGTCGCCGGCCGTCCGAGTGCCTCTCCAGAGTCGAGTAGCTCCGCCGGCTGGAGGTATCGGCCGCTATCCCCGGATAGGAGGAGAGCCGCGCGGCCAGGCCGCCGCCCCGGGCCCTCTGCCGGTGCCGGTGCCGTGACCTCTGTGACCGGGCCCGGTGCGGGTCACCGGACTGCGACCGGCGGCGGGCCCGCAGCTGAGCGAGCAGGGAGCGCCGCGCCGCGTCCGGGGTCTGCTCCAGCACGGCCCTCCAGACGTCCGGGCTGGAGCCGGCGGCCAGCCGGACCAGCTGGTCGGCCGCCACCGGCACCGTGATCTCCAGACGGACCGGCGACACCTGCAGACACGGCCAGAGGTCAGTGACAGAGACCTGCAGACACGGCCAGAGGTCAGTGATAGAGACCTGCAGACACGGCCAGAGGTCAGTGACAGAGACCTGCAGACACGGCCAGAGGTCAGTGACAGAGACCGGCAGACACGGCCAGAGGTCAGTGACAGAGACCTGCAGACACGGCCAGAGGTCAGTGATAGAGACCGGCAGACACGGGCAGAGGTCAGTGACAGAGACCTGCAGACACGGCCGGAGGTCAGTGACAGAGACCGGCAGACACGGCCAGAGGTCAGTGAGAGAGACCGGCAGACACGGCCAGAGGTCAGTGAGAGAGACTGGCAGACACGGTCAGAGGTCAGTGATAGACCTGCAGACACGGCCAGAGGTCAGTGACAGAGACCGGCAGACACGGCCAGAGGTCAGTGACAGAGACCGGCAGACACGGCCAAAGGTCAGTGACAGAGACCGGCAGACACGGCCAGAGGTCAATGACAGAGACCTGCAGACACGGCCAGAGGTCAGTGATAGAGACCTGCAGACACGGCCAGAGGTCAGTGACAGAGACCTGCAGACACGGCCAGAGGTCAGTGACAGAGACCGGCAGACACGGCCAGAGGTCAGTGACAGAGACCTGCAGACACGGCCAGAGGTCAGTGACAGAGACCTGCAGACACGGCCAGAGGTCAGTGACAGAGGCCGGCAGACACGGCCAGAGGTCAGTGACAGAGACCTGCAGACACGGCCAGAGGTCAGTGACAGAGACCTGCAGACACGGCCAGAGGTCAGTGACAGAGACCTGCAGACACGGCCAGAGGTCAGTGACAGAGACCTGCAGACACGGCCAGAGGTCAGTGACAGAGACCGGCAGACACGTCCAGAGGTCAGTGACAGAGACCTGCAGACACGGCCAGAGGTCAGTGACAGAGACCTGCAGACACGGCCAGAGGTCAGTGACAGAGACCTGCAGACACGGCCAGAGGTCAGTGACAGAGACCGGCAGACACGGCCAGAGGTCAGTGAGAGAGACCGGCAGACACGGCCAGAGGTCAGTGACAGAGACCTGCAGACACGGCCAGAGGTCAGTGACAGAGACCTGCAGACACGGCCAGAGGTCAGTGACAGAGACCTGCAGACACGGCCAGAGGTCAGTGACAGAGACCTGCAGACACGGCCAGAGGTCAGTGAGAGAGACCGGCAGACACGGTCAGAGGTCAGTGATAGACCGGCAGACACGGTCAGAGGTCAGTGAGAGAGACCGGCAGACACGGTCAGAGGTCAGTGATAGAGACCGGCAGACACGGTCAGAGGTCAGTGGTAGAGACCGGCAGACACGGCCAGAGGTCAGTGACAGGGACCGGCAGACACGGCCAGAGGTCAGTGAGAGAGACCGGCAGACACGGTCAGAGGTCAGTGATAGACCGGCAGACACGGCCAGAGGTCAGTGACAGAGACCTGCAGACACGGCCAGAGGTCAGTGACAGAGACCGGTAGACACGGTCAGAGGTCAGTGGTAGAGACCGGCAGACACGGCCAGAGGTCAGGGTCGGACCTGACAGGGCACGGTTCGTCGGAAAGTGATTTCATCCACACAAAAATGAAATATATCATTCGATAGCTGACGGTGAGCTGATTTCAGAAATGATTTTTATCAAAATCGTTCGATGGCCATTTTCAAAAATAGTTGCCTTTTGTAAAAATGCGATATTTTTTTTCTTAAACAGGCCTTCAAAGGGAGAGCATGTTTTGTCGGGTTATGCTGAAGGTCGAATGCCGTAAGAACAACATCCGTTAAAAAAAAAATCTGCGTAAATGTGCATAGACGTGTCCAAAAGCCAGCATTAAGCTACCGTATCGCAACTCGGCGTCACGATGGACCAAAGTCTAACACCCAGAAGCGTGAAATCACCCTTATCGACTCGCACACCGCGTGCCCCAGCCCGACGGTAGGGCTACGAGAGTGACGTTCGGCTGTCACTCCTCTACGCAATTGATATAATTGCTGGTTTAACGACTCATTTCGCTAGCTAAGCTATTCAGGATGACTCTGAAGAAAATTAATTGTTCAGTTGGATTTGCAACACACTTTTATTTGCATTTGTTGATACCTGTTTTGCTCAATCCAGCTGGTCTCCATACCTGAGGAGGGAAAGTTGGCTGACCTGAGCTGTCAGAGGCTGTACCCCACCTGCGCACGGGAAGAAAAAATGGGATGTTGGGAGCTAACTCACTTACCTACTTAAAGGGACTATCCCACCTTTAACATGGGGTTTGAGTTGAGATAGCCAAGTTTGCGGCGAGGTTCAGAAACCACTATCTATCTAGGTTGCAACCCCCGCGGCCTCTTGGTGTTGAAAAAATTCGTTCCCTTCATTTGAAAATGGGCCTTGCGCAAGGTCCTATCTTCAACATGGAGCGACCGTTAGTGTGACGTCACCTCGTTTAGTCATTCTGATTTAAATGGGTTTGTTCGTTGAAAAATCGCTTAAAACTTGGTCTGAACTTTGTTGTGGTGCCTACAGAGTAAAAAAAATCAGCTTTATGACAGTAATGTGGCCTGGGGAAGGAGGTAATTTTGGGCTGTGACGTCACATATTTGAAAGTTTGTGTTTGGAATATGGGAAGCCTAAGATGTTTAATGAAAAATAAATGCCAGAACCGTGTTCCTGGTCATCCAATCTATAAAGTCGGGCACAATTTAACTGGTTTTAACAACATTTTAGAAGGTGGGATAGTCCCTTTAACATCGCTCTCCAAGTCATCCTAATGCGGTCAGTGAGCCCAACGAAGAATCATTTTGCGATAAATTAATGCTTTCTGGAAACAAGCATGGCGAGCTTGAAAATTAAGCAAGTGCAAACAATTCACTTCATGGCAAGTCACTGTACTGCCCCATTGTTTATCAAAGAAGTCATACATTCTGTCATTTCTCATTACGAATGGGACAAACCGACGATATTTTTTCTGAAACGTAGTTACATTGCATGATGCACATTAGGGTGTGTCATTTTGGGCACTTTTTTCGCAAAACATGGTGCTCCACTGATTTTATCGTGCCCCAGACACGTAGAAACCGTGTGACATTTTTTATTTCCCCCAAATATTAACACCCATGCGGCGCCGACCGCCGACACTTTGGCCTATCTCTCAGCATTAGCGACCTCAGCGCCCCTAGCGGCAATGTTTTGAACTAACACGCCCGCTATGCTTTGTGAGCTTACGATCATCATAAAATGCATTTTACCGAAATGACGCCTTGCTGTTGGCTTGTCTGGCACTCAGAATGTTGGTGAAAATGTGATGTTATGCATCTTAAAGCAGGAAATAGTTCTGTGTTAATGTACATAATCATATATTGCATAGTACCTACTACCCCCGATCCCCGTCCTGGTCTGACGGGATACGTACGAGCGCATGTTTATAGTGCCTGCTATTAGGTGTCACATGTTTTTTTTTTTGTAGCGTCGTTCACTGCATAGACCCCGGGGAACAGGGGGGGGGGGGCAGTGGGGGCGCTTGCCCCCCCCCCCTCCAACTTGAGAGCCGAGTGGGCGCCGCCCCCTCAACATTGATGCAACGATGAAGGATCTCTGCTCACTTTTATGGACCTACATGTCTGTTTTTATATAAACATCAGCACAAGGTATTTCTCTTGCATGTGAAGTGAATGGTTTCTGCTGACTCGGCATCGATTTAAGAACACCTGCTATTATCATCCCACTTTGATTTTATCTGAACTTGATCATAACTTTGGTAGGTCAGATTTTATACTGGACCATTTTGGTTCCGGATGGTATTTGATTTGGCGTGATGAGAACATTATGACGTACAACGGTGGTAAAGTCGTTGATTGATACAGGTTTACTCGCTCCGGTGGGAGGCAGTAGCGGCGGAACACCTTCAATTAAGTGGAGGGGGGGGGGGCACTGCCGACTTTTGGTCCCATTCTTTCCATGCAACGCCCATAGGGCTAATGTTAAAATGCCCAAATCAGAGGGGGCACGGTGCCCCGGTGCCCTCCCCGTTCCGCCGCCTATGGTGGGAGGGCGGCGTGTGGGACTCAGAAGGAGACTAATGGCTTGTGTTGTGCCTTTGGTAGGACCCTCAGTATCACCGATGCAGGGCCTTCAGAGCCTCCAATTAGGGGCCTTTAGAGGCACTGGTGTGGGGTCCTCACATACGCCCGTGTGGCCCCTCAGAGGTGCTAGTGTGAATCCCTCATAAGCACCGGTGAGGGTCCTCACAGAATACAGACGCCGTTGTGGACCCTCAGAGACACTGGTGTGGGTCCGTTACATGTGGGTGTGTGGCCCTTAGAGCTGCTGGTGCGAACCCTTTAAAAGTCGGCAGGGGGCCCTCAACGACCGGGGAGGGGGACCTCAGACCGGCAAGGGACCCATAGAGGCCGGCGGCATCTTCAGAAGCCCCGTGGGGTCCTTAGATACCGACAAGGTACTCTGAGACGCTAGTGCGGCCCTCAGTCTCTGATGTAGGGCCCTCAGAGTTGCAGGTAGGTGGCCGGCAGATATGCTTTTGCCGAACCCTCACAGGCGCAGGTGTGGGTACCTCAGAGCCACCAATATAGGGTTGCATAAATGGTGTGGCACTGGCTTGGGGGACCCTCAGTGGTGTCCTTATGGGCCCTTAGAACCACTGGTGTGGGTCTCTCAGAGGTGCTGGTTGTGAACCCTCAGAGGCCCTGCTGAGGGCCCTCACGGTCTCCGTTATGGGATCCTCAGAAGCCGGCGTAGACCCTGACGGAGATCTTAGTGTGGCTACTTAGGGGCTCATGAGGTGCTCTTACGAGACCTGTGAGGTCTTTCTCAGCTGAAATATAGTCAGCGTGGACCCTCAGAGGTCAGTTGGTACCGCAGGGGTCTTTATGGCCGGGTGGGCTCTCAGAAGCACCAGTGAGGGCCCTCAGTCTCACAGTCGTCGTAATGGGGCCGTCTGAGACATTGGTGTGAGGCCATTACTGATTACAGGTTGGCGTAAGGCCCTAGATATGGCCCCTCTTGGGCCGGCAAGGACTCTCAGAGGCACGCTAGCGGCCATAAGAGGCCGGTAAAGGGCCCTCAGAGGCCGCCAGTAGCCTTCAGAAGCCGGCGTGTAACCCTCATGGACAATTTAGTGAGGCTTCTTTGGACTCACGAGGTGCTGTTACGAGCCCTATTCTTTCTGAATCGAAATATGGCCAGCATAGACCCTGAGCGGTAAACTGGTGCCACAGAGCCCCTCCGACCCGAGGGGTCCTCTGAATGCGATAGGGGGGGGGGACTAGATGGCACGTGCCTCCTGGGACCCCCTGACTACGCTACTATTTCATATGCGTCATGTCAGGTATTTTGGGCTTGCACCCCAACTTGAAGAATGTTCCTGGGCCCCTGTGACAATATATTGTATTCATTATAGGTATTCGTCATTAGCTTGCACTCTCTGCAATCTGCCCATACTATTATTTGTCCCTAGACGCGCTTACAGAAAGCAGGGATAAGCCCATACAGTCAACGGCCTGTTAGTTTAGCAAACAGCCGCCAGGGGCGCTAGGGTCGCCTATGTTGTGAGATAGGGCAAACTTCTCTCGCTCGGCGCCGCCTGGGGGTTAAAATTTGCGGGAAATTAACAATGCCACGCCCTTTCCACATGAGTGGAGCACAATAAAATCGATGGAGCACCTTGCATTGCGATTAGTGACACACCCTAATGCACATATCTTCTCTGCGTGTTAGCCATGGGTCAGGATACAATACATGTTCGTCTGCATAGCACTTTTCATACACATACACATATACACAGTACCCATATCGCCCTACTTTGACATATGGCGGCGGCCAGGAGCATGGCCTTTGCGGGTAGGCTGCGTTGGCGGCGCTCACTTGGCAGTTTCTCCAGACGGTGGAGAAGTCTGCAGTTTCTCCACACGGTGGAGAAGTCTGCGTGCACCGACTCACTGGCCTGTTCTGAGTACAGACCTAGCCCCCTGCCTCGGGCCACACAGAACTCGGGGACGTGCACGAAGATGGCGTGGTTTTTCACCGTGACGGTATGCCCAGCGCCAGGTACGCCTCTCTGCACGAGGCGACACACTCATGCACCCCATCCGCCAAGGCATGGCCAAAGCACGACTGTACATACAACGGCACGGAGAGTGTTGAAATTCGGTCATGAGTGGTTTTAAGTAATATTTGCAGCTTACTGTGTTCAGTGATTTCGCCCGGCCACCACCGGCTGAGCTTCCCGGCCGACGCGCGGGCCGACGCATTGCGGCACAGCCTAACCTGTCGGGGCGCCGCCGCTTGCCGCGGCCCTGCGTGTGCTGATTGGTCGGCCGCCGATCACGTGTAGTGAGGCGAGGTCGGGTGGGGTCGCGCCGGCGGAGGGCAGTCGCGCAACGGTCCTTGCTGCGGCTGGGTGTGTTGGGCTCCGGAATCTATATCCGTTTGCTGGGCGTTGGAAAGCTTGTCTGTGGGCAGTCTGTCGGCGTTCCATGCGGCGCATATGGATTCGAGACGCAAAATTGGAGGCTTCGTCTGTGGATTAGCCTTCACTCCACACCCTTTTGTTTTGCCCGACCACCAAAATCACAGCACCATTAACCCGGCAGTTGCTGGGGTATTTCGCCACCCACCGTTTGCTGAGGGGGGGGGCGTTAAACGCCCCCAGCCGATAACTCGAGAACCAATATGCGCAGCGAAACGCACGAGGCGGCAAACGAAAGAGCGCGACGAGACGCTTCAGATGAGTACTTTAAAGTTGAATTTTGAGGTCACAGGTCGGGTCAAGGTCAGGTCAAACACCTGAAATCGGGCTTTCAGTAGCATGGACTTCAGGACTTCGCAATGGGCGCCTCTCGCCATAAACTCTGTCAAAACGGTGCACAATCCATCTTATAAGGCCTACAAGAGTGTCAGCTCCATGTAGGGGTCAGTCAAGCATAGGTCAGGGTCAAGGTCAGGTCAACCGGGTAGGCACATATCCCCGAAAATCAAAACTGATATTCGCAGCCTGTGACACATGTTTTATAGGTAATTTGGGGCGTAAAACACGATGGTGACATTCATTTTATCAAATGAGTACGTGTTTGGCTCAAAAAGTTCAATTTAAGAAATTCATGTATCATGGTCGTGAAGTAGTCACGAAAAATTGCCAAGATTCAGTTCAAGATTATGGAAAATGCGGAACGATAATCAATAATCGAAGATAGCCATTTGATTGACCATGGTATTGGCAGTCGAATGGCGTTTACGGCATGTCTGTATGTCTATTCTGTGATTTTATATGATTTTTTGAACATATGCCGTTTTTGGTCGAAAACTCAGAAATCATGACGTCACTAAAACCTCGATATCTCAAAAATTTTCTGACCGATTTTTTTGAAACTTTGTCACAATAAACTTCAATCAATTTCCTACAGGTACCCAAAATTTGGCGCGCCTGCGGCGCGCCGTTTTTATGCTATGGCCCGGCGAAAAAAGTGGGGGCGTTTAACGCCCCCCCCCCCCCCAGCAACTCGCGGGTTAATGCGGTAGTTTAAAACGTGAATACCTGTGGGCCAATCGTCTACTTCATTAATGGTGCTGTCTAGAATTAACTTAAGCGCGCCGTGCTACGGGCCGGCGCTCGTACTACGGCTGTGAGCCTATTCAAGGGCGGTATTTTCTTGGGTATTACTCGAGCGTCTCTCGGGATTCACCTCTATAAATATAGGTCAAGGGCAGAGTCGGCGCTGTGGCCGTTCTCCGTCGATTGCGATTGGTCGCTCTTAAAGTCGAGTCCCTCATAGTCGTGGTTGTTGCCGAGTGTTTGTCTGGTTGGTCCCGGTTTTTTTGTTGGCCAAAAATACGTCTGCCTGGTGTATTTATACTTTCTTGTACATTGGAATCGCTGCAGAGAGCTCGCAGAGCCTCCACAATGGGCATCACGCAAAACGCCTCTGCTTGTTCGGCCATGGTCTGCAGCAGGTCCGCGTTGTTTAGCAGCTTGTTGCCGGTTGCGGGAGTTGCCGTCAAACTGACCTCCATGGAAGCTGCAGCGCGCCAAGCTGAGTCTGCTGATCCACTGGTGGAGGCTTGGGTGGAGGTTAAGCCCGGAGCCGCTGTCTGTCAGCGTCTTCTCCAGGTGATCCACCAGCCGGTTCACAGAGCCCAGCAGCAGGTGAAGCTCCATCGGCGGCAGCACGTCCAGCACCAGGACGTCGTCGGCGCCGGGCAGCAGCGGCATGTGCACGCTGACGCTGTTGTCGTAAGCCTTGAGTGGCTGATTCCGTCCGCGGTCCAGTGAGTCAGCCCTCCAGCGCTGATAGTTGTACCGGATCGAACCCAAACTTCTAGGCTGACCCTTGACGAGCTCAGCGAACATGCTGCGAGGTAAGTCGCACCACGGACATGAGTGACATGACCCGGCTGGGTTCTGGAACAGATTTAAGGCAAATTGTTATTGCTCTTTATGCGGCATATCTCGAATATTGTTATTACCTCTCATTGCATAAATTGATTGTTGATCGTGCTTTCTTTCAGGTAGAATAATGCCAAGTTCGCAAATGTCAAAGTTAATGTAACGCTTAAGTTCATACTTATCTTTTACAATGATAACTTATACTAGCCTCTTATGTGGCTTTAAATAACGTAAATAAGGTAGCGTAAATATTTAATGTCATCTATGCATCGTGCTACATGCGCGCGAAAATTTCTACTTTTTAGCGCATGCGAAAGCCAACCCTGATATTTGTTATGCTCACCTGAAGACCGCACAAGATGTTTGCCACCTTCAGGTCAGCTGCCACGATGAGGCCTCCGATGTCTTGCAGTGGGATGTGCTGGAGGAGCTCCGACATGACCTCGTAGGTCTCCGCAGCGTTGGGAGCGACGGCCAGCAGCAGCAGCCGTTTCACCCCCCCCCCCCCCCCCCGTCTCTCTCTCATGGATGGTGGCGACGTGCTGGCTCCTTCATCGTCGTCGTTGCTGGAGTCAGGGTTTCTTATGACGTTGCAGGTCACTTTCAGCATGCCGCAACCGCCGTCCATTCCCACCTTCACCAGGTGGTTATGGGGGTCCACTTGACGATGACGGACGACTCGCTGCAGCAGCTCGCTGACGTCGCTGCAGACAACAGCACACGTTGGCTGATCTCCGCTGGTGAGAGTTACGCTGCCAAACAAGCCCTCCATCATCTTGTCTCGCTGACCAATAGTCTGGCTCAAGTTTGATGCGACAGCCGCTCGACCCACTTCTTTTCTCATGGCAGTCGCTACCTTGAGAGTCTGGTTTGTTGACAGCCTGAGCGATTCTTGAATCTGTAAGCAGGCTCCTGCTGGTACTCCCGGCTGTTCTTGCCTAGTCGATGGCCTCTTTTGTCGTTTCTTCCGCAGTTTGCCCATGGTGGATGATCTCGATTTCTGGCACCATCGCCAACAGCATTCCGAACTTGAGGAGTCTGCCTTTTTAACAGGCACTAGTTTTGGAACCTTTTTCGTTGTCTAGCTTGGTTCCATTGCTGCTGCTCTTGGCGAGTTTAGCCCTGCAAGTTCCACATATACCAGATGGTAGTTTGGTGTCTTTTGGGTCGTACAATTCGCGTTCCGGAACGACGGCTCGGATTCGTTTTAAAACGGTGGGTGTTATTTTTTGATTGCCTTTCTGTAGACGAACAGCGCAAATCCGTAGCCGGCGCTGTTCGTGGTTCAATGCGATACAGGGCATCTCCTTCCAGTACCGCGCGCGGCGTGGCACTGACCTAGGATCGGCTTTTGACCGGTCACCAGCTGGGGCGGCCTCAAGCTGGGGCCAGTACAATCTCTGATAGCGAAACTCCGCTCACTTTCCCTCTTCGGGCATGGGGCACAGTTGGATTGAGCAAAACAGGTATCAACAAATGTGCACATAAAAGTGTGTTGCAAAACCAACTGAACAATGAATTTTCTTCAGCGTCATCCTGAATAGCTTAGATAGCGAAATGAATCAGCAATTACGTCAATTGCGTAGAGGAACGACAAGGGTGATTTCACGTTTCTGGGTTTTGAACTTTGGTCCATCGTCACGCCGAGTTGCGTTACGGAAGCTTATTGTTGGCTTCTGCACACGTCTTTGCACATTTACGCAGATTTTTTTAACGGATGTTCTTACGGCATTCGACCTTCGGCATAACCCGACAAAACATGCTCTCCCTTTTAAGAAACCACGGAGAAAAAAAACATTGCATTTTTACAAAAACGCAATTTTTGAAAAAGATCATCGAACGATTTTGATAAAGATAAGATTTCTGAAATCAGATCACCGTCGGCTATCGGATAGTATATTTCATTTCTTTTTGTGGATGAAATCACTTTCCGACGAACCGTGAGGGCGCGTTGAGTATATTGAGAGGATTCACGGACACCAGGCACAGACGGGAGTAACGTCTCACCTCTGTCTGCCGCTGGTCCAGCGCCACACCCCGCGGCGTGCTGTAGCCGGCACCCTGGACGGCCGCCGCTCCAAACAGCACTGAAATGAAAATTACAATGAATTAACCCTCGCCCGCACATGCCATTTTCCCATCCTAGAACGCACGCATATTTACGTCTGGACAACGAGTTGCGGGGAAAAGTGCTGATTGTGTTGCAGTTTTAGGAGCCGGTGATTAGGCTGGATTTTTGGGTTACTTTTTCGTTCCGATTCATGTATTTCATAGTGTTTGGCTTTTGAATATTTTAGTTCTTTCAGATAAATATTACTTGCCTTACAACTTTTGTAAAAACGTTTCATTTTTTATAAGCCGACGTTCAGAGTCCTAAAAATACATCAGCACTACAATCATTGTAAACAAACAAATGGGCACTTGGCTGAGTTGGCTCTGTTCCAAAGCCATTTTTAGTTTATCTGGTGGTTTTCTTGCTCTTGTACGTGGTTTTGTTGGATGTTTTGAATCCCTTAAGATTGACTTATATCATATTTAAGAAGCATGTTGACTGAAAACAATCTGAAGTATCCAGGAGGCTGACAGAGGTCCTGACTACTGAGTACTGAGCAATATCAATATCAAGTTGAACAAGTTATGAAATTTTGGTTGATAAACGCAAGTTGATCGGGCTCATATATCAGCAAGAAAAAGTAAAATTAAAAGAGCTTATTGTCCAAAAACAAGCTATAATATTGCAGACCTTGGAGCAATACTGAAGAGCACGCTGAGCAGGATCATGCCAGAAAATGTTGACTGATGAGCGCATATTGATGTATTGGTATGAATATTGAATGATAACTTACAACAGCAAGATAAATTAGTGCTAACTATCAAGTTAAAATCTAGAATGAATGGACTTGGGCAGTTTTACTATGCTTAGATGCTATGCAGATTGTAATGTGCATCAGGTGCTCAGTGTCTGGCAAATTAAACATGTGATCATTCCATTGCTACTGGAGGAGAAAGCTTGGATCACTAAATCCACTATATGTTGATTTTGATGTTAATCATCATCACTGTATTTCTTGAAAAAAAGGATTGTAGTAAAATTGTCAATGTGACAATCCATGCAACGATGTGATCATATTATGTGTTCATAGTCATTTGTGATAGTCATTATTGGTCCAATATACAATGGCAAAGCTCTCAGTCTCAGCGTTTCTTCCTGTGGATGGCCAGCAGTGACTCAGAGCTTAGAAGTATTAGTTTTCTTCACAGGGATTGGATAAAAAGTACTGAGGGTAATCTTCCACCAAGGAACTCTACTTTGACATGGTATGAGATGTAGGCACAAGTAGGTAGGTGCTCAGTTCCTATAGTCAGTAGTTGTGTATGTTTAGTCGGGTTAGCTTAGATCAGATTGTTAGTTTTTTAATTTGCCAAATGTCCATAAAAATGTGACCTGAGCAATGAGCATACCTGAACCCGACTAACCTGACAGCTGACCTAACCTCAATCATCACACATATTTGCAGCCTACCCAAGACCTGCATGGCAGTAGCACCCAGTTATGGGTAGGTACTCACCCTAACTCAATCTTACCTGCTAACCTTCAACTTACCAAAAGTTAGCTCACATTGCCAAGCTGTGTCCAGGGAAACAGTCAACTGAGGAACTGGCTCATTGGGTGGCTGGTGTGAGTCTGTGCATTTAAAGTGTTTCTTCTCTGAAGCTGCTCTGCACTGCTGTATGTCATGTTAGATGCTCAGAAAATGTGGGAAATGATTACTAAGCTACTTGTATGTATGTATGTATGTATTGACACCAAAAGCCTTCCACATATGGCGTGGCGATTACGGCTTAGATCCGAGTATAATGGGTAACAGTCATGCGGGCAGGGGGAAGAACACTCAGCACTAGACGACAGTCATCCATCGATGGGGGTCGCGACAATAATCATCTACATATGTACATAAGACAAACAATATATATATATATATATATATATATATATATATATATATATATATATATATATATATATATATATATATATATATATATATATATATATATATATATATATATATATATATATATATATATATATACATAAGCACAAACAGATCGTCTACCTATTGGCGGCATGCCTCGTCTACTACTAAACAGACTCGTCAGCGGCGTAGCGGGGATTTGTTAATCAGCGCGGCCCTGGCAGACCGGGCGAAGCTGGCAGGTGGCAGCTGCACTACCTGGGGTGGGAGGCTATTTAACAGCGCCGTGGCGCGGTACTCAAAACGCCGTTTTCCGGTTTCAAGCCTCACTCGGGGAAGATGAAGGAGATGATCCTGCCGTGTGTGCCTGTCTCGAAAATTTTGATTAGGGACGAACAGTGCAGCGAGGTTCTCGGGCTCTTCATGCTTAATGACCTTTTGCGCGATCGTGAGTGTCAGGTAATCTGACATGGATTTTGGTGATAGCCAGCCAAGTCTGTCGCGCAGGTCCGAGACTTGGTCAAACTTACGCCGTCCGAAGATCACTCTAGCGGCAAAGTTCAAAATTTTCTGGAGTCGGTCAAAATTTTTCTGAGTCCCGTTACCGTACACAGTGAGGCAGTAGTTGATTCGTGATATGACCAGAGATGTCACGAGAACTTTAATGACACCGTCAGGGAGACAATTTCGTGCGTGAGACAGTCCGATCAACAAGCCAGTACACCGACGACTAAGCTCGGACACATGTGCTTCCCAGGACAGGGCGCTGTCAAAGACAACACCCAGATTCCCCACCTGCTCGCTTGGCTGCAACACAGAGTCACGAAGAGAGACGCTGAAGTCGGGTACCTTCCGTAAATTTTGTCTGCTGCCAAAAACCATGAGTTGTGTTTTGTTTGCGTTTAGCTTGAGGGCGTGAAGACAGAACCAGTCACTGATTGATGCGAGTGAAGCTTCCATGCGAGAGATAAGCGATCTGAGGTCTTC